TCTATCGTACGAAGAACCCATGAATATTTCGTACACTAGAGCTAAATGACAACAAATGGAAGTTTACTGCCGGTAAAAAAGGAGGAATGTCTAATACTTTTTTTACCGTTACAGCGATTATTTCTTCCACCGTGACCAAAATACCATATACGGCCATCCTCGGAATCGGCTCTTTTAACCATCTTCATCTGTGATCCACATTTCTCGCACTTCATTGAAGAAGCAATTAGCGAGGTTTCTTCCAAAAACTTAAAATAAATTTCCTCTGACCCTTGTAACAATTTGTAAACAAATCTTTGATTAGGAAAGCCAGGCTGGCCAAAATAAGGTCTCAAAGGACAATTTTTTGATTCCGATACCAATAATTCTTGGTACTTACCAATAACAACATTCATCTTAGAGAGAGACATCTTTGAAGGAATTCCAAGAAATGAATTAAATTTTAAAATGGCGCGGAAATGCACAAATTTTCAGTAACCAATCAGGGAGCTGATTACGGCTCGTTAATGCACAAATATTCTATAACCAATCAGAGAGCTTATTATATCACGCCTAGAATTAAATTTGTTTAAAAATTCATACATAATAAAATCATTTTTAAAAAAATGCAAAATTAAATTGTATTTTAATATTTAACAGCCATAAATATGTTTAAAACATTAGATTAAATTTATACATATTAAAACCAATTACTTTTAAAGTAAGGTGACGTCATTGATTACATCATCCACAACATAAAATTTCATAGAATATGATAAACAAAAAAAATTTTATTTCAAATAAAAATGCAAAATTAAATTGATTTTTAATATTTAGAAGCCATAAATAATATTTAAAACACGGAATTTATGCACAATAAAACACATTATTTTTTAAATAAAATGACAACAAAGTATCGGTTACCATAAATAACTTATCTCGCAGTGGGTTTACCATAAGTTGTATTACTTGCCAAAAGAATATCGCCAAAATCCGTGCAACCGTCTACCAAAGTAGCACCGTATTCATTTATTTAATAAAACATCACTCAGGTATGTAACATACAGTTCATCTTCAATAAGCCTAACTAACTACAGAAACATATTTACCTAATTCCAAGGAGGTTAGAATAGAAGGAGGGAAGGTTCAACTTAAACGGTGAAGCTTGACGGCCATGTTACTGTTATCGCTGTGACTTGCGCAAGGAAGTCTGTAATTGTAACATTTTTTTTCCTTTTCTTTTTGAAGCTTGTCAGCTTATATTGCATATGGATGCCCAAATAGATTTTCGAAAAATATTCCTGGGATTACTGTTCTCTCGTAAGTATTGATTTTCTTTTTTTTATGTAATTTTATAAGTATGTTAAAAATATCACAATGTCATGTTGTTTTCTTTCCAGATGTGACAAAAATGACTTAATAATAATCAAAACATGTTAAATACATTTTAATGTTTTTGCTTACAGCTGGTATCTTCGTTCCTTAACATACAATGATATATGCTAGGATTTAAACCGTATAATTTGAACGCTTAGATAATTCGTTTTATAATTTTCATGAAAAGTAAGAAATCAATTGTTACTATTTTTATGAATTGTGAAGGTGTTAAATAAAGCAACGCTTTTCTTTATGTATTAATTACTATTCATTCTTAAGTTTTGTGAACTGTTACGGATATAATTTGTGCATTTGATCAAGATAAACTGTTCTGTTGTTAAAATGTTTTTGCATAAGCTTCATTTCTGGGCAGTATAGCGATAAATGTAAGTAAAATATTTACACAATTGAACATGTTAAAAGATATATCCAAAAATTTATATAGGTATATTTCTGTAATTCAGCTTAATTCAAGGTAATTTCATTGAGATTCATAAATATGAAACGCGCATAAACTGAAATCATTGAATTCACATAAATCTGTTTTATTTTATTAATATTTATTTTCTTGTCGATATAAGTTCATTATTGGTTGTGAAAAGAATCGATTTAAATCTTTCATTTAAAAAAAAAGCAACATGTTACCATTTTTTTAGATAATTATCTGTTATTAATTTCAAGTAAAAATGATTCTTTAATAAATTATAATAATATTGCGAATAAATCAGAAATATCACTTCTTAAAGAAACAATTGGAAAGTATAATACCCGAGAAGTTGCTAATAAAACCTAAGCAAATTCTTGAAATTATGCAGAATCATAATTTTTAAAGGCTTTAATGTTATGCACATGCATTTAGATTTCGAAATATTTCTTAATGATTTTCTGTACTTAGTAAATTACAGATATCATCTTTATAACTTTAAAACAAAAAACTAACAATAGCGAAGCATTTCATTATAAATTTAACATATTTGTACTGGAAAATGCATGCATAGAACAGCTTGCAAACACGTACGTTTCACTGCCGTATTGCAATGTTTTGAAGTAACAAACATGGACGCTGCTTGTTCCGTGGAGTTTCATTCCCCGATAGTGGAGGAAACTGCGAACCCTCCCTCCTTCTATCTTCCTTAAATCCAACATCCTCCCACCTTAAGTTGTTGGGAAACAACTTAACCTATTAGAAATATTAAAGAAAAACTTAAAAACATAAAAGAACTGAATCAAAGTCCAAACATTTATAAAGTCTATAAGTCTTGTCTTTGGATAGTCCTAACTTCTCATCTACTCCTGGTTTTTATGCAGAATACTTCTGACCAATTTCTGTATTACTGGTGGTGCTTTTGATGGAAGAGGAGGTAAATCACTTTCATCATATGAGTCATTTTTCAAGCAAGAATTTACCGAACGAAAAGGATTGGCTTCTCCATATATTCCATTTGCTAACGTTCCTGGTCTCCATAAATCTGATCTCGAATAATCAATCACTGAGAAAGGACCTGCTTCAGCATTTACGACGTCTGGAATCATTAAGCTATATTTCCACCTTTCTCAGAATCATGTACATATCTTCTATTTGGTTTACATGCCTTCAAGAGAGCATCCACTGAAAATTGAGGTGAAATGTCAAATTCGACGTCTCTGGGATTTTAACCACTCATCACTTTCAAAGGTCTTCCTTTTGCGACATAGATGCACCCGAGAATCCATTAAACTACACACAAGAATCTTTGTTGCAAATAGGAGGTGATTTCTTAAAGGGGAGAAAGCATTCGGTTCAAGATTCCCCGTCCTTTGGTAGCTTTTATTGCTACCAAAGCCCCGGCCTCAAAAGGTTAATAAAGTACTGTCAGTCTTTAAATCTTGATGAATAATATTATTTTGAAACAAGTGCACTAGAGCTTTCAAAAGCTGAGTAAGCAGTCGCAATGCTCTGGGACCAGAAACATCCATTCTTTTCAAACATTCTTTTAAATAGCAATTGTATCTCTTCATAACAGAGTCTTATTTCTACCACATCCATCACTCACAAGACGAATAGGAAAGGCTTGTGGATAGTTGGTGAAGGCACTAGGAAGCAAAGGTGTTTGATCAGCAAAAGCAAAATACATTTCAACTATATTTGGATTGGGCCACAATTTTTTTTTTCTGACTTTATATTTTGGCAGTTCACCGAAAGAAAACTCGCCAATAATTCGCGAAGAATTTGCATTTAGATAATTAAAGATAAATCTTTTTATCCAAGCAATCAACCGTATCACTTTGTCATAGTTCGAAAAATAATAATTGTATCAACTTAATCCGTAATGTTTGTAACCATTATTTTTCTTTTCATCAGTTTTGCGGCTACAAGTTTTTGAGTGACTTAGAGAACAGATAGAAGAGTGCTCATGAGATTTTGGTTTTCTCTTTTCCTTAGCTATAGAATGCTCATCAATATTTTGTTCTGTGACAGGCCAGTTAGATGATGATTCTAATAACCAAGTGGGTCCCTCCCGCCATTTGCTTGATAACAGTTGTCTAGCGGAACATCCTCGAGAAGGCAAATCAGCTGGATTTGGATCCCAGGAAGGTGTGAATGCGCATCGTGTGACATCATCTATTATTCCCAATTCAGTCCATTGTTTAAAGACATCATCATAGGTATCAAATAATTTTTTTGAATTCAGCCTTTTTGTTGAGACTTCAAGTCTTCTTATCGATGTATCTTTGTTGGTTGGGAGAGGCAAATGATCATCTTTCCACTGTAAGGCATCTTCGTACCGCCCATCATCCTTGATTTTTAGTCTCTCTTGAAAATATTTCTTCATGATAAATTCATTTTCCTTTCGTGATTTTACTTCGACTGTACCGGATATTCCTAAGCTGTCTAAGGAAAAAAGGTCAGGAATATGGGCATCTTTCGCAAACGTTGTTACAACCGTCATCGCGGTATCATCCCTTTCAGCATTCACTGATGTTTTACCGATCAATGTCCAGCCCAGGTAAGCTTCTATGGATACAATACTACTAGAAAGTACTCTTTTTCTGTCGGTGAAAAGTCGACCAGCCATATCTGCACCAATTAAAAGATCAATAGGACCTGATGAATCTTCAGTGTCATAAAATGGTATATTCATGGACTGGAGCTCTTTAATCCATGGCCCATTTGAGGCAGAAGGTACAGCATCACAAATTGTATCTTACTCATAAATATAAAAAATATAAGTAAAATTATCGTCTAAACTCTTTAGCTTAATTTTGTAGACATTATGCACATTTTCAGGTGTTCGTTTTCCTCCAAAAAGGGAGTGGCTCAAAATCTATTGTTTAGAAGGTATCAGGCCTAGAGTAGAAATTAAATCCTTCCTTAAATACGATTTTTGCGATCCTGTGTCATAAAGCTCGAACACAAAGTGTACAATTATTTCCAATTATTTTTACTTTCAGGGTTTGCAAAAGTACTTGTGGTGTGTTGCTAATACTAGAAAGATTTACAGAACTTTCTTCCTTGCCAGTTTCTTTTTCATTGCTGTTTAACATAGACTTCTTAACATTTGTTTTATTTTTAAGCAATTCTAAACACATAATTACGCTGTGATTTTTATGGCAAATTGCACGTTTAATAGAACTCCTGCATTTATTTGCACAATGACCAGCCTTTAACAGCGAAAGCAGTGCCCTTTATCTTTTAAGAGTTTTTGACTCTCTGAAAATGGCATTTTTTGAGCCTTAAAACAATTAAATGAATCATGGTTTCCGCAGCAAAACACGCACTTCTTAGTGGGAGAATCAGCACTCAACAAACTTGCTGCCGTTGATGGTCGATCGTGAACAGTTTTAATAGATTTAATCCCCCAGGTCACTTCGTTCTTCACACCAAAACCAGCCATAGCTGAACTTAGGCGTTCTTCTGATTTCAAAAATTTTAATAAACTGTCCAGTCTACATTTTGGGTCTGGACCATGGTCAACATTTGCACTTCTTTGATAAGCTCTTAAAAATTCTTCAGGCAAGCAAGATTCAACTAAAGGATAAAGTAATGCGTCACTTTTATCTGTAGTGACGCTAAGGGTTTCCAGAGCCCGAATTTGTTGTTCCAAATTATCATATAATGCACACAAGTTATTACAGGAATTACTAGAATTTGCATTTCTCAGGACCAATTTCAACAATTCTCTCACATAAACTTCCACTTGCAAGACATTTCGACCAAAACGAGCCTTCAAACATTCTATGACCTGGGGATAATTAGCAGATGTAGGGGGAAAACTTTCTATAACCTCCCTTGCACGCGAACCCTCAACAGTCGCTTGTAATAAATATTGAAATTTATCACTATTAGAAATCGTAGTATCTTTGTCAATTTTTTCAAATTGACTCCAAAAAAATAACCATTCCTTAATTTCACCAACAAATTTTCGCAATTCAAGCTTTGGAAGTTTAAATGTACGCTTACATACATTCTCATTAACAGATTCATTCAAAATTAAATTTAAAGTACTTACATTTTGTAGATTCTGAAGAATATCTTTCACTTTGGTTTCAATTCTAACGACCTTGTCACGATAATCTTCAATAACATCGAATTCTGCTTCAATTCGTTCCAACCTGGCTAAGAAAGACTTTCTCAAATGAATTTGACCTGTTGCGTATGAGAATTATCACTGTCTAAAGCTTTTGGTAGACGGTTGCACGGATTTTGGCGATTTTTATTTGCCTTTTGGCGAGTAATACAACTTATGGTAAACCCATTGCTGGATAAGTTATTTATGGTAACCGATACTTTGTTGTCATTTTATTAAAAAAATAATGCGTTTTATTATGCATAACTTCCGTGTTTTAAATATTATTTATGGCTTCTAAATATTAAAAATCAATTTAATTTTACATTTTTATTTGAAATAAAAATTTTGTTGTTTATAATATTTTATATAATTTTATGTTGTGGATGATGTAATCAATGACGTCACCTTACTTAAAAAGTAATTGGTTTTATTAATATCTATAAATTTAATCTAATGTTTTAAACATTATTTATGGCTGTTAAATATTAAAATACAATTTAATTTTGCATTTGTTTTAAAAATGATTTTATTATGAATGATTATTTAAATAATTTTAATTCTATGCGTGATGTAATCAGCTCCCTGATTGGTTACTGAATATTTGTGCATTACCGCGCCATTTTAAAATTTTATTATTCATCTCTTCGAATTCGTCAGATTTCAAATGGAATGGATATCTCCGTTTCGAAGATGTTATTGGTAATTACCAAGAATTATTGGTATTGGAATAAAAAAATTGCCCTTTGAGACCTTATTTTGGCCAACCTGTCTTTCCTAATCAAAGATTTATTTATAAATTGTTAATAGCGTCAGAGGAAATTTATTTTAAATTTTTGGAGGAAACCTCGCTAATTGCTTCTTCAATGAAGTGCGAGATATGTGGATAACAGATGAAGATGGTTAAAAGAGCCGATTCAATTATGATTTCGATTTTTTTTGTGGTACTTATCAATAAACAAGAGGTTAAATTACTCAAAAAAATGTAAGTACATATTTTTTCTTTTATTTTAAATTGTATACTTCAATTTTTGTTAAAAAAATTAATACACTATTTTCAAAAATTGCTGAGATAATTATTGTCACATATGTTTTAATGTTAATTATATTTTATATAACGTATTTTAAAGTATTTGAATTTAATAATATTCTAATTCTTTTAAATGTTGGTAGGATGGTTTTTTAATTCGATATTCAATTTCAGTAATATTTTAATCTAATTAAACGTTGGCACAATGTTTTTATAGCGGTGTTTTTATTCTCTTTTTTGCTATATGAAAGTAATAATAGCCTTACTTTAGTATTTTATACTCATAGTAAATGTATTTATTTACACTTGCCTGCCATCTTAAAAAACGACATTTTCAACAAAAAATTAATCCATTACTTTTAACGATATTTATTTTTTTTTAAGTTTCGAATACTTTACTATGCGTAAAAACAGCGTTTTTCAAGATGGCTGACGATTGTAAAAATCGCGCCAACAATTGCGCCAACGTAAATCGCCAAAAATCCGTGCAACCGTCTACCAAAGTAGCACCGCCTATTGAACAATAACGATGATCTAAAAAAAATTTAAGATTTTTCAATAAAACAAAGAACAACATTCATTATAAGTAAATCAAACTAATTCTATGAAGTGCTGACCTTGAAACCAAACTAACAACAATTATTAGTGGCCAAAAAGTAAAAGCAACAAGTATTGTAAAATTATAAAGTATAATTTAAGTAAAAAATTAAAAGAAAATAAGTACAAAATACAAACTACATTCTTTTGAAATCCAACATTATACACTTGCCATGAGGTCTTTCCATCGTAAGTGAATAACTTCAGGAAGGGACGAGCTGGCATGCGAACAAATTTAAAACCATCAGAATTGCTTCCTGCTGTCGCTATGCACTTCTTGAAGGTGTCAACTTCTTTGGCCACGGCAGCAGAAACCTTGTCATCAATTTATTGTTCCACTGCAGAAACTCTCTCTTCTATTTGTTCTTTCACAGAAGAAACTCTGTAATCGATTTGTTGTTCTATGGCAGAAACTTTGTTCTGTTTGTTCCTTGACAGAAAATACTTTCTCTTCAATTTGTCCAACTTTATTTTCAACCGAGTCTATTCTGCCTTCCATAGCCACAAATTTATTTTCTATTATACAGGTAATTTCTTTTTTCATCTCTTCTTGTCCTGCTTCAATCTTTTCCTGACCGGCTTTCATCTCTTTGTGACCAGTATCCATCTTTTTTAACTGATTTCATCTCAAATTTAACCAATTTCATCTCTACTTTAGCAGACTCTTTCAACTCTCCTTTAAATGCAGCAAAGGCTGCCATAAATTGCCTTAATTGTTCTTCCATCGCTCTTGTAACTGGCATTCAAAATCCCACTTCTGACACCGAAAAGTGTTGTGTGCATACGAGTTAGTAATAAATTGAATGCACAAGTCCGATGAAAAGTGAATAAAATTTATTGTTATCACAGCAAATAAAGCAAAATGCTTAAATTTCCTCAAATATTCGTACAATAGTGCAGTATTTCATAGTAGTTATCTTAATCTTTCATAGTAGTTAACTATTCAAACGTTCAACAGAAATAATTCAAAATAGAGAAAGCTAATCCGATTTCACCGCGAATTCGCTACAGTAAACAACATCAGTTTTCTAAACAACTGAGCTGAGACGTTCTTTCTCTGTCTTTTATAAACAGTCAGCAAAGTCTGGTATTTTCTCGGCTTTTCCCGAAAAGCAATAGCGTACAACTACGAGATATCTATTTATTAAATGTACATGTTCCTGTATTTCTAATTTTTCTGGCATAGCTTTCTCTTCAAATAAGTCGCGTGCAGCATTGCACGGGAAAATGAAACAATTTAATAACAATTCTATTAAAAATACCAAACTAAATAAATCAATACAAAAACCGTAACAGTATTAATAGAAAGGAAATGTGACAGAAACTAACTTTCTGCCCCTTTCAGAATCCAGGTTACTTTATAATATGTTTGTTGGCTGTACATACAATGGTTGCCCTTGAAGAGAAGTGAAAACTTTACACTTTTGCAACCATTACTTTGCAATGAATATGGTTTTGTAAGAAATTTAACTTTATGGATGGTTTCTTTATATTTCCATTTTGTAAGTATTCTAGAAACATTAAGCCATTTTAGTTTTTCAGAATATATTTGATGATCCAAAGAATTATTTGTTTCATATCCCATTCGGTACTACTTTGGTAGAAGGTTGCACGGATTTTCGGTGATTAACGTTGGCGCAATTGTTATTCTATGCGCAATTCTATGCGTGAGGCAATTAGGGAGCTGATTACATCACGCATAGAATTAAAATTATTTAAATAATCATTCATAATAAAATCATTTTTAAAACAAATGCAAAATTAAATTTTATTTTAATATTTAACAGCCATAAATATTGTTTAAAACATTAGATTAAATTTATAGATATTAATAAAACCAATTACTTTTTAAGTAAGGTGACGTCATTGATTACATCATTCACAGCATAAAATTATATAAAATATTATAAACAACACAATTTTTATTTCAAATAAAAATGCAAAATTAAATTGATTTTTAATATTTAGAAGCCATAAATAATATTTAAAACACGGAATTTATGCATAATAAAACACATTATCTTTCTTAATAAAATGACAACAAAGTATCGGTTACCATAAATAACTTATCCAGCAATGGGTTTACCATAAGTTGTACTACTCGCCAAAAGAAAAATCGTCAAAAGTAGCCAAAAGTAGCCAAAATCCGTGCATCCGTCTACCAAAGTAGCACCTCACATTAGTTTATTTAGTTAACGTCACACATTTTAAAATTTGATAAAAATGAAATTTAGTTCCTTGTTTGTTTCAGAAAAATGCTGTATGCATCTTAATAGCACTTGACACAAATTTCTCTTCAAGGAGAAAAGCTTTCTGTTAAAATGTTTTTATTCTTTTGAGACTATTGAGTTTTTTACACCTTAGGTCTCAAAATACGGGATGGTATGTGTTTACATGCATTATTCAGCATTTGATTAGAACAAATGACTTAATTGTGTGTGATGTATATGTGTATCTAAATGAAATTTTAAAACAAAATTAACAGACTCTAAGGTTGTAAAATTTAATGAATTTAATGTGTAGTACATAAGTATAATTTCAAAAATCTTAGATCTAACATGTATTTAATGTATAAGAGTTCAAAAAAAAAAAAAAATATTGAAAAGCAAATGATTTTGTTAGCAATTGATTTAATTTACATTTAATAGTTTAATAGTAATTGAAAGGAAATGGAGTTATTTTTAATAGCTGAATTGTAATTGAAAAAGGCCATCAATTGAATTTATTTTTAATAATTGAATAGTAATTGAAAACAAATGATTTTAATTACTTTTAATAGTTGTTTGCCCTCTGTAAGAAATGTTGTTATTCTTTAAAACCATTCAATCATTCTGTATTTTACATGCTAAAAGAATAACAAACTTAATACCAAAATAGAACCTTTCCCCTATTCAAAGCACTATCAAGGTTGATACAGAAACAGTCATCATGATTGACAGAAACAGTCATCATGATTTTGTTTAATTTGTTGCAGAATATTAAATTCTTGGAACTTTTTTGCTGCAGACTTTTTATGTTTTGACTCAAGTTTTAAAATCACAAGTTCATTAGTATATTTCACTTGCATATACTTCATATTTAATGTCACTGTTGATAGAGCTAATACCATAGTATTTGAATGCACTTTGATAAAAAAAAAAAAAAAAAAAAAAAAAAAAAAAAAAAATATGCGGATTTGTTTATTTGGTAGTAACAATTTTCTTGTTCGTTATTGGATTTTTTCAATAAAATAGGATTATAAAGGATGTAAATTTTTAGAGTAATAATCACAAATACATGTAGTTTAATTCAGAAGTCAAACAACAAAAATCAGCGTTATACCTACAAAATTTTCACAGGACTAGTTTCGATGGTTTTACCGAACCATCATCTTTCATTTGCGGTTTTGCAGCTGAAGATGATGGTTCGGTAAAACCATCGAAACTAGTCCTGTGAAAATTTTGTAGGTATAACGCTGATTTTTGTTGTTTGACTTCTGAATTAGTATTTATTCGGCGTGTTATTGTGTCTTAACATGTAGTTTAAGTAAAAAATTTTTAAGTGCATTCAGAAAGAAGTAGCTCTTTGGCAATTGGGGGAGGGGAAGGATGAATGAAACCTTTGTTTTGGAGACAAGCTCATTCATAGACCTCAGCTATTAGTCCAACAGTGAAAGAATAGTGTGTCCACAGAAGGATCAGCAAGTAGCAGCAACCAAGCCTGCATAGTATGAGCTATTTATGCATATAATAATTGTTGGGTTTGTGGTTGTGTATCCTGTGTGGACAACTGGAATTAACAAAAAAAAAAAAAAAAAAAAAAAAAAAAAAAAAAAAAACAAGAATCCCAGAGTGAGAGTTGTCATTTGGTCTTGGAATTTTATGATGATGATATGACAGACAAATCAACAGTGAGACGAGTTATACGAAATTTGAGAATGGAAAGGGCCATGGTGGAATTTGAGGATGATCATGATAGTAAACATCCTGGCTGGCTGTCCATCATTATGGATGAAACTATTCTGTACATTCAGCACATCACCATTCATAAAGTCTATGCGCACCAAGTCCCCCCCCCCAAAAAAAAGGAGGATGGTTTTATATCCCCTGTTCTTCTGGGCTGATTGACAAAATTCAGCTTGTTTTTCATATCTCGTAAGTGCAACTTAGGATATGTATTATATATTTTTTTAACTTAGATAAGACACCAAATCAGGCTTTTTATGGAATGACATACTGATGTTTTTCCATATATGGATCTTACACCTCAAATTATGCCAAAGTATGTCAAGTTTCATAAAAATTCGCCCAAGTAGTTTTTAAAAAAATTAGGTTTCAAAATTTTAGCTCCTCATTGATAATTGATTTTAGTATTTATTGATATCTTTTTTTTATTTAGCTTATTTGATTCCTCCTTTCAGAATTTGAAATTTAGGTTGAATTCAAATAAAATGCATACATTTTTTATGATTTATTAAAAAAATTTATTTTAAAATAATTTTTTGAAAAGAATTTGAATTTTAACCTATAAAATTATTACCATTATCTTTAAGTAGTAATTATATATGTATTTTTAGGCAAACCAGCAAAAAATGTGAGTTTTTATTCAAAGTTTCCCTAGATATATGTGAATTTATATATTGATGCATTTTGAAGTTTGTTATATTTTTTAAAAGCAATAAGAATGCTGGATGTTGTTTATGCATCTTGTTACAGTGTTCAATGAAATACAGTTGAACCTTAGTTTTCCAAATGAACTGTAACTGAGGATTATTCATGTGGAATATCTTTATTCTCATTTTCAGTAATAATATATAATAAATATTTATTAATGTATGTAATGCAAAGCTATTTTTTTAAATTTATAAAGAATAATCAAAAGTTAACATCATTTTATATGAAACAAAATTTATTTTGCAAATTTTTAATTGTGTATTATATATGCATTCAATACTTATATGCACGTCATAAATATAAATAAAACATTCTATTACAGAAATGTTTAGCAGTCCGAAAATTTACTAGAATATAAGATTTTTATCTTCTTTTCTGTGTGTAGCAAAAGCAATAAATAAAAAGGAATTTGAAGATGTTTTTATCTCCAAAGCCATTTTGCGGCCTCTACTGCATTAAAAAAGTCTTGTTTACATTTGGAAGGCCCCTAAGAATCATCAAAGCTCCCATTTTTTTACTTCCTTGTACGAAGTAAAAAGGATGTATTGTAATCGTGAAAAGTTTCAGGCAGCATATTTCAATGAAAATATCCAATTTAACGATGTTTTTGCGTGACATTGTACGTAAGGACAGAATGAAAGACTCTTTTCCTCCAAAAAAATTATAAAACTGCTTTAAAATGAATTCTGAAGAGAGTTTTTCCATAGTTTCTGTACGTACGTATGTATGTATCCCGCATAACTAAAATACGAGTAGCCTCAGAACGTTGAAATTTTGTATATAGGACTGCTATAACATGTAGATGAGCACTTCCCTTTTTGGTTGTAATCGGCCGGGCTAAAATTCCATAAGCGGGGATATTTTGGCGCCAAACTATTTTGGCCTTCAAAATTTGGCGAATTTTTTAGGCGCACCAAAATGGGATTTTTAAACGTAAACAAAATAGAAACTTCTAAGTTTTGCAGTAGTATCTTCTAAGTTATTTTATGTAAACAGAATAGTAAAATGAGATGATAAAATACTAGATGAGTAAAACAAAGTCCAATAAC